ACTCGTTGTATCATTTACAGTCACTCGTGCCAGCGCTTGCACGTGTGCACGTGTCCGGAGGGGGGGGGGGCAATAAACAAGCGACACCGCTCACAGGGTGCATCACCGATGTTTACTTCGCACAGGTGGCATTCCACATGAAAGATCCGCTGCAAAATACCTCAGATGCCGGGAGGCACACCACCAATGGTCGGGGGTTTTGGTCGAGTCCGTACGACCCCCCCTCCTTTTTTTCAAGCGGTTAATACGACCCCACCCCTGGTTCCTCCTCATCAAGCTGTCGAGCGGAGGGGATTACGAATGCGATCTCCCACCCTACCGTTTATTTCTTAGATTTCTCCCAACCCGATGACCCCCCTCCCCTTTCACGACGTCTCTGGAACGAGAGAAATCACCCATCAAAAAAAATTTTCTCGGTCCCCGATACGCAGCGACCAAATACGACCCCTGTTGGGGAATCCCCAACAACGATGGGTCCTAGTTGAGACAAGTGTGATGTATACGTTGAGAGCACCGAACTCGCCCGTCTGTCCATGCGAAAAAAAGTTTTGAGGACGAAGTGTCATTTTTATTGCCCACCACGACTTCCCCTGTTTCGTTCTGTGGTGGTTGGGCTACCAATTAATATACTCAGCATTTCGTGCGGCCTTTCGTGCTGATCAAATAGAAAGACAATGCTTGAATGAATCGAGCAGGCATTTTTGTACTTTTTCACATATCGGTGAAATCCAGGAGCATCACAGCTATTAGAGACAGACGAAGGTGGAAAAAAAGGCAGCAAAGGGAACCTTCAAGAGTGTGATACAACTCTAAGCACACCTTCCGACTGGCTCTGTAGTTCAAGGATTTCCACATTCATTGGACCCTTCGTTATTGTGATCAACTGTTTGCTTGCTCTATTAGCTGCTGATGTCGTGGTCTCTCGCCCGCACCACTGAGCGTCTCTGCGTCTCTGTTCCAGCACATCCTCGTTCAACGTGAGTCTACCAAACGAAATTTTGGAGCGTTTTCGATTCTTCTGTTGCGTTCCTTACTAATAATTCCCTTGACACCTTACAGATTTAAGACCTTGCCAATCACCAACTGCAATCGTGGAATCCCTATTAGAGGCAACCAATAATTCCTCAGATTACTGAGGAAGGCATCAAAATATTCGAAGAAAGGGAGACATTCTGTGCAATGATCTCGGACTCTTTTGGGCTTTTAGGCTGCGTTCATACCTTGCGATTACGTCGGCGACGTTGACGTAACCGGCGTTTCCGACGTAACCGACGTTTTCCGGCGAGTAGTTGGCAAAGATGAAATACGTATTCATGGGACGTAAGGGACGTAACCGACGTAATGGGCGCAACCGACGTATAGTGTAGTTCGCTGCGGACGGTTGGGCGTGTCAGGCGGGATGAGTTTGGCGCGGTGCCAAACCCGTTCTCCACCAGTTGTTAAAGCGAGCAAATGATATGACTGTATCATATCGTTCGTATTACTCGTTTTCTACTTTTTGTCGCATGCGCGCTTCAACAAGAAGGCAGAGAACGGCTTTGACGGGTGACACACTCATACTGCCTGACACGCCCACCGTCCGCAGCGAACTAGAGTGTACGACAACATTCGGAAGACTAGATACCTGTCGCTGACGTAGTCGACGTAACCGACGTCAGTCGATACGTATTTAACCTTCTGTCGCTGTTACGTTGATTACGTTGGTTAGCGATGCGTATCTAGTCTTTAGTCGCCCAGTACGCCGGTTACGTCGGTCATGGCGACTATGTCGCATCGATAGGTATCTCTTCTTCTGGGGGGAGGGGGGGAGGGAGTTGTCGCCGATTACGCCCGTTACGTCGATTACGTCGGATCGACACGTATCTCATGTTCGCAGCACAGTCGCCCATTACGTCAGTTACGTCGAGCGCGCGCAAGGTATGAACCGCACATCTAGTGCTTTTTGAAATAGAAATTAAGCAGCTCTTCCAGACACAAAAGTTTCTACAGTTAGGAAATTTTGCCTTTTCTGAATTCAAAGCAAATATCCACGTGTAAGAACTAAAAAATAGAATAACAATGTTCAGTACTGATTTCTTCCTTTATTGAATCACTATGGTAGTATGTAGCTTCATTTAAATATTTGATTAGTGTTTGATTGCTTGTCAATAAGCTCTAGTCATCAGGTACCAGTTCTTGCCATGGATCACCGCTCACCCAGTTCACTGGCACGGCGTCGATGATTTTCACACGTGGAAGGATTTCTCGAACTCGATTACGGTAGAAATGTTGTGTGCTGAAGTTCACTCATTATTTTGTACCGTACCTATGCCTATGACAATGTCCATAACGTTCTTATAACGTTGCGTTGAAATGAATGTTATACTACGTGTCCAACATCATCGTGGACTGTATGGGTATTGATCGGCGCCCGATATGCCGAATTTGCAAAGACGTCGATTCTCCCGAGTTGCAAGGTATGAAAGCAGTTTGAGGGCACACGTGACTAAGGAACGGGATGGCTCAGGCTCATCATTCTTAACCATGGATTTCCACCCCTCGACCTACTGTTTTCATAGTGGTTCATGCCGTCTCCAAGAGCGTCGGCGCAGGGGGACGAGCAAGAGAACCGTGAATTGCCGCCCCGTCGCGCGCGGCATTGGGCGCGACGTTTCCTTAATTTGCACTACCCTTTCGATTGAGCATCTGGATTGGCTAATGCCGTTTGGACTCCAGCAACTTCGGCACCGAGCTCATTTTTAAATTGCCTAAGTTACCAAATCCGCTAAAAACTTGTATGTAGGGGTAGTTTAACATCCTGATTACGAATATGACATTCACTCTTGCCGCTGGCGCTAATGGATGACACTACGATTACCTGCTCCGCTAGGCTGAGCCCAAAAGGTAACCTTAGTGTCATCCCTTGGCGCCAGCGCCAAGAATGAGTGTCATAATTGTAATCAGGATGGTAAATAACCCTTGTGTACATATTTTCAGCGGGTTTGGCGACTTAGGTAATTTAAAAATGAGCTCGGTGCCGAAGTTGCTGGAGTCCAAACGGCATTAGCCATCGGATTGGATGGCATGTAACAAGGACATGGCTGACAATGTTCTCTATTCTTGGTCATACATTGTCCATTCTCAACCAGTACCACTTGAAATCGTCGTCATTAGCGAGCGCGACGTCGCACGCGGCGATCAGTGACGCGAATTACGATTCTCTTGCCACATACCCGGCACAGCTACCTTTCCACCGTTGGTGTTTACCATCAGTCAGTCACTGAATGTGGCGCGCCTCAATGCAATCCTTAGCGCAAAGCAGTCAGCGGTAAAGATAATTATGCCCATTATGTAAATGAAAGAATCTGAACGAAAACTTGCCTATATATAGGATTCATTTCCAGTGTGACATCTCTGAGAGCTGGCAAACGATTTAGGTAGGCAACTTCTGACCAGTTTGAAATCTGGAGCAATCTATCTGATTTTGAAGGCCATATATTGCCGCGAAGCCTCTCACCCGGTTCCTACGTATCCACAAACTCTTCAGATTGGTCAGATGTTGAAGATTCTCGATCTTTTCGATTTGGTTATCGTTAAGGTCAAGGGCGACAAGCGCGACGTTGTTGACAAGGCTAGAACGAATTATTGATCGACATGATCAAACGGGATTAGGCCGAAGTAGCGTATACCTGATCAAATAGTGAGAATGACTTGCAGGGATAAGTTTACAAGAGGGAGGGTCACGGGGCATGGCGCTAACGTAGTTGGAGGAACCATCCAGTCCCCACCTCTTCGTGCCGTGTGTTCCCCAAAGACATTTGGGCTCAGAGAGAGGGCGACCCAGAGTCGGCGAGGATTTCGGTTAAAAAATGAATAGTCTTCTACTAAGTCCAGACCTTGATTAGGGAAAAGGACCCAGACGCTGCCGAGTGGTGCCTTCAGCTACCTTAGCACCCGGGGCAAGTATTCCATGACCGAAATTACCATTGCGTTAAACTGTATTTCCTTTGCAACGTTCTGTTCAGCAGAATCTATTATATTGCACTTTGATTTCCAAATTGATTACTACTTTCCCAGAGATTAGTCAGTTCTCAGTAATTGGAAGGGAGGTGGACTTCTGCGCTCTTTCAATGCTGAGCCTGGTAACGGGCAAGGAATCCACTATCTGCTTGAATTGCATAGAAGAGCGCAACTTGTTGCGCTATGTTCCACCTCCTCCCCACTACAGTAGCAATCCGCGACAATCAGCGCACGTGTGAAACAACATTATCAAAAAGAGGATAGTTCAGTGGCAACGTGTAGCTGTTAGGAGCGGTGACCGTCGATCCGGTCATTTTGGCCATGCAGTCGTGTACACGGACCCTTCAATGAAGGTGAAGAAGAGAGGAGGGAAGGGGGCGGGGGGCGTGACAGAAAGTCCACGTTGCGTCAGTGAGCCTCGATGTTGTAGCGTTCATCGCTGTGCGCGATATTCGCGCTTTCGAGCCTAACAGTCGCTGAGGGCTTCAAGTGTTTTACAGTATTTCAAGTAGCTAGGAAATACTCTGCTCGCTTCTAGACTAGGGCACATCACATCATTGGTTGGTGATTTTAGTTGAGTCCGTATGACCCCTCCCCCCCTTTTTGTTTGGTTGGGTGGGGGTGGTAAATAGCACGTGTGAAACAGGAAGCACGAAGTCAAGCACCACCAGTCAGCACCATTCCCAATTACCCCTAGAAGGCCAAAAAGTAGATACGACCCTCCCCCCTCCCTCCCAACAATGAGCAAATACGACCCCCCTATTACAACGTCCGTGCGAGAAAATCAGACTACCAAAATTTCAGGTATTTTTCCTCAGCCCAAGTCGACGGGGGGGCGGGAGGCCCCCCCTCACGTGGCGCGCCAAAGACCACAGTCCCTGTTGGGGTTTTCTTCTTTTTATTATCAGCAACGGAGGGCCCATCTTCTAATTACACAGCGTGAAACCTCCCGCCGTTTGCTTGTTCAAAAGCTTCAATCGATTACCCTGCGATGCGTGTGATACCGTTCTGTGAGAGAGCCAAGTCGGTGAGGTTCGTTAAGCGATCGAGTCCTTCAATAGTTCGGATTGCATTACCGATGAAGCTCAACACCGTCAGTTCACGGAGTGTTGATAGACCTGAAGAAATATTAGCATTTAGATGTACATTGCCAAAAGCCAGCTAGGAACAGCCTCTATACCCCGCAGTTGTTGATGTGCCTCTGAACGGCACCCTTGGCGGTAGAGGGCCGTCCTGGAACTGGCGCTCCAAGTTACTCTTCTTCCTACGACTTCTCGTTCGCAGGGAATGAAAACTGCAAGTGCGAGTATGCTCAGTTACAGACTCATACCTTCGATCTTTGTGATCTGATTTGCACCAAGAAAGAGCTTCTTTAATGACGTTAACGACTCTAGATTTTCAATTTTCCGTAAGCGATTATCCGCAAGTTCCAGGAACTCAAGAGATTTCAGCTGAAAATTAAACCTTTCTATCGATTCGCAATGTAGCTGGATAGGAAGAGGACGCGTTAACTAGTTTGGTAGCGGGAAGGTGACCAACCATTGTGGGAAAGGATCTGTGGAGCGTTACTTCCCATATTGTGGGCGAAATGGCTTTGCCAACCGGAGTGACAAACATCAGTATTTCCCGTATTGGTCCCAACCCTCTCTTATAGTGCAGGTCTGTTCCGACTTTTTATCTCCAATGTAACTCGTGCTGCGTACGCCCGACTGAAAAGTTAACGCGCCGGCCACCCGTGAAAAGTCAGTGATTAAGTTTCCGCAGATCCTAGGGGTACGGTTCGATGACCCTGCACCAATGTGCTTGCGGTGTTACCCCGCCTCTTTACAAGTGCACCTACTACCTTCAGGTTTTTCACCTACATTTTCTAGTCCTTCGATTTTCGTGAGTTTATTCCTAGTGAGATATAGTTCTTTGAGATTTTGCAATGCGTCAAGTCCTTCGATTTTTGAGATTCTGTTATAGGAAAGATCCAGAACAATAAGGTTCGGCAAGTCGAACAGGTTTTCTATTTTTGTTATCTGAAATATGCTTTGCTTCCAAGGTAACAGTTTTCAAACTCATTCTTCCTGCATAGGTGTCTGTTATCTTCTTTGCTGTGAGATGGGTTTTGTGCGCGCGCTGCTAGCCTCTTCTCCACCTGTTGTTAAAGCGGCTAAGCGACCATAACCGGTGGGTAACTACTGATACGAACGATACGATACAGTCTTGTCGCTATTGTCGCTAACCGAAGTAAAAAGAAAACGAAAAAACGACCTGGGTGCCGCGCCAAACCATTACCCCATCACCCGTAGGTTTGTGCCGACGCAATCATAATTGAACGAATGTAGGTTGGCCGGTAAGCAGCATCACATTGATGACCACCGGCGGTCAATTTTGACCTCCAGTAGATCCACCGTTAGTTTAATCGATCTCTCACAAGCATGCGGTAATACAATGAGTCTGAGAAATACCATCATAAAATCTCAGCATGGAACTAGGAAATTTGAGCGCGAGAAGTTCAGTGTAGTATTGAGAGCCTAATCCCTAGCGCAGGTATGTGAAACATGTATATCGGTTGTATGAGCCCTTTGAGAACACAAGCTCTTCTTCATAGCTATGGAGATGAGCGATCGCTTAGATGGACGTAATGTCATCTACAGAGCTTTGCCGGCTAGAGCACGAGATATCGGATGTTCGGATGTTGGAACCAGCCTCTACGAGATAGATCATGACGAATGCGCGCTCCATCATTAGTCGCTGAATCGATCGATAGCCGGTGCCGCGAACTATGAACACACCTAGTTTGAGTGGGATAATGTAGAAATAGTTTGAAGCAGATTTACCCGGACATCGTGGCAAAATGACCTAGTGTACCAACGGAACATGCTTCGAGAGAGGGGGATCATGGCGACTTTGATCCCATGCGCTCTGCATCTCATCAGATAGTACGATCTACGAACAATCGAATTTTAGAAAGTACGATCTACGAACAAATCGAATTTAGAACCTCTAGCCTGTCAACTTTCTAGTTTTTTTTTCTGGGCTCTGAAGTCTGCATGGCGTATCATGGCTACTGTGACCTTACACATTCGAACCCTTACTGGCAATGTTGGCGCGGCCCGGTTAATGGACTTGACCATTTTGAAACGGTGCCCCACTCGTCCTTCAGCTTACTCGTACGAGTTTATTACCATTAGGATGTACAGGCCTTACCTGGTTATCATACAAGGATAAATTGGTTAGTTTATGTAATCCATTGAAATTCTCTATCTTTTTAAGCAAATTCCATCGCAAGGTTAGCATCTCCAGATTTGGCAACATGTTAAAATTAGATGCATACAATAGGCGACGTCTAGTTAGATCCAGCTGTCGTGTATTGTCGTCTACCTCAATTTCTGAAAAAATGGAACTCTTACAGCTTATATTAGGTTGGTCGAAAAGTCCTGCGACACTTTGATTAAATTGTTCTGGAAAAAGACCAAAAATCATTTTGGATGTTTTTATCCCTGATTAGTGGAGAGTGTCCTCTGAGGTTTCTGCACATGGGTATATCATGGCTTTGAGGAAGTTTTCAAAGCTTAAAAGTTCCCCAGAGGTCGAGGTACTTTTGGACCTGTCCCATATTATGAGTTCCTCTAGGGCCACCCCGCCGTAGTCGAGGAAGCTGACACTTACGTTGTCTTGAGGAAGGATATCGCTTGCCACAGCAGAGAGTTCCTTTTGCATCAGCGCTTCCAGGCTGGACTTATTCAACTCGGAAGTAGGCAATGTATAGGTCGGCCACCAGCACAGAATGACGGCCCTTTACTCAAGCTTCTTGAGGCGCAGCCGAACGTAACCACCAGTAAGTTGGCAACCTCTCTAGGCTCCACCTAACGACAACTGCCATGCTTCTCCGCACTCTCGGTTATTGGAAAAATTTTTTATGAAGGATGTCTCATGAGTTGAACCCCTCTGACAAGTCATCCCGAATGACCGTGACTGAGTTTTTTTTTTTCCTTGTACACACTGGAGGAACATTTGTGAGATCTTGTGGTTGGTAGAGAGTGGTGGGGTCCTTGCGTACATCTTGCACATGTTCCTCGCAGGATCTCTCAGAGAGAAAAGTAGATTGCACAGCCAAAAGCAGATGTGCATGGGATAAAGATTTCAGTAGGTTATTGGTGGGACTTTAAAGCGATATCTCTGGATACTAGCATAACGGTAAGGACTACAGTCCACTCTAACCAACCTCACAACATGGATGACGTCACGCTTAAATTCTTCAAAAATACTCAATTTTTCTCTACCGCTCGGCAATGCGAAGACCGCAGGTTAGGATCAGGCCACACCAAAAGATCGTGGATCTTGATCTGAGAATGCAACCATACCCAGCTTATTCATCAAAGTTAGCAGTCTCTAACTACTACCTTTTTTGATCCCTACCGCATCCTTAAGAAGGCAAAAATTCCGAAAATCGACGTCTACTCAAAAATGAGGTCCACCTCTTCTTCTTATCATAGTTGCCGTAGTTCTAAGAATGGAAATGGGAAGCTGTGCAAAAAGAAGGGCACTAGTCCTAGTCCTTAGTGGTGATTACCTTGTAGATTGGAGATGTCTTTTAGTGACTAAAAATTTAGACCCAAAAATTGGTCAAAGTGTCGCAGGACTTTTCGACCAACCTAATATGATTCCTGCCCCAATCAGTTTTGTTCGCTCTTGACAGACCGAAATGTGGCTCATGAAGAGCGGTTGTAGTTCAAAATATCAGTGAAGCTAAACTCTTTCAAGACTGATAGTTACAGAGTAAAAGAATGCTACACCCACATGTGTGTATTTTAGGTGACACCTCACAGTACCGCGCGGCACCGCACCAGAACCTAAAGCAGCGTTCCGGCTTCGCGACGGCAGCTTCGGTCATGCATTCGACGCGATCGATGCGCCTGCTTTTGTCCGCATCGATCGCGTCACGAAGCGCTACCGTCGCGAAGTCTGGAACGCTGTCTAACAGATTCAACGTTGGAACTGCTGCTGCATGTCGAGTCGAATAGGGCGCAAAGAGGACGGCGCGTCTTGGAGCGCAGCCAGAGCGGATTTTTCACCAGTTATACCGGAGAATGACATCATTGTTGGAACGAACTTCTCCCAACTGCGCCGCTCACAGTCGTTTGAGCATCGTACCTGTACTACTGAGGTACGAGGTGGTACGTACTGTACCACCTAATAGTCTATGCGAGTCGCTGCAATCTGGATTAAACGGCCCACACAGGGCAGGTGAACCCTAGGAAGTGCATTCCGTATCTACCCTAGATTAATTAGTACTGGAGTGATAGAACTACGAGGTAGTAGTCGTTATAGTCGTCTAGTCGTCTAGGGAGAGGATTGCATGGGGTCAAGCTCCTGAAGGATTTAAAAGGATTAGTGAACGAACCTATCGGTTCCTTTACTATATTTCCATTGCCATCATTGGAACACATCACCGCACCTGAAAGCTGCACCATCACAAATGAGCTGACAGCCGCTTTCCACAACGCAATGATGAAAATAAAAAGCTTATGGTGAGATAGCAACGGCTTTGTGGCTTGCTATGCATCACTTTATACAGTCTTTATCTCTGCAAACGAGAGAATGTGCGGGGGGGGGGGGGCAAGCATTGGAGCACAGCCAAGCCGGCCTTCTCACCAATGGTGCCATCCTGAGCCCGTAACAGTTGGAGAAAAGGTTGCTCTGACATCTTCGCAGTCCAGCCCTTCACATGCCCTTTCGTTTGCAGTGATATTGACTGTAGTAAACGTGGGCAGGCAAAACTAGCTAATCAATACCCATCCTTCCTTTCCTTTGATCATCGCTCACGCTCTCGCCGATTTCCCTTCAGACATAATCCGCTTACCCTACTTACCAGGGTGAAGGCTGCACTCATTTGAAGCCTTTTCAAAGCGGTAGATGTTGGATAAGGCAGCGTTCATACTTCGCGACAGCAGCGGCGATCGCGGCGACCTCGGCGATCGTCGGTACATGGCAGAGCGCGCCCCAACGCTATTACTTGCGCTCCGAAGGCTTTTGGGAAGAAGCGACTCAATTTCATGCTTTTTTTTCCTTTAACTGCAATTTTCTTAGGTACTGAAGCTTGGTTTGACACAAAGAAAGGTGAACCCAACTCTTTTGTTTTCTATTTCCTTTCTTGATTCAGGATAGAAATGAGCAAAAAGCGTGAAAGCTTCATTTAGGGTACGTTTTTATTGTTTCTTTTTTCATTCGTCGAGCTTATACATGAGGTTAAAGTTTTCACCCTGTTGTGATATTGCGTAAAATGATTAGTGTTTTGGTTCCTAGGTGAGTTTCTTTCTGTTCCTTTTTTTTTCTTCGTTGTTTGAACTCGACTTGTAAACTATAAATGTTTTGTAAGTCGGAACAGTTCAGACGATAGAACTTCCAAGGGCTTGTATAAATTGAAACAATAAAAACAAAAAGAAGCTCAACGCAGGAGTATGGATGAGAGTTGGCCTTATCCCGACCTAAAAGGAGTGAAACCTCCTTACTCATATTCCAGATCCGCTTATGTATAGAAAGTCGTAAGTTATCAGTTAGTAGCCATTTTAAGAGAAAAGAAGGTCTCACAAGTTGGATTCCCTTATTTATCAAGCGAGCGGTCCATAATAGCGTTGGGGCGCGCTCTGCCACGTACCGACGATCGCGGCGGCGATACTAGGTCTGCCCGCGATGCGCCCGCTGCCGGACGCGAAGTATGAATGCGCTAAGGCTGTCTACTCTGATTCATGTTGGAAGCTCGATCATCATTTTGCAATGACTTGCAAACCACTCACTGTGCTCAACTTAGCAGGGCGGCTCAGGCAACTTCAGACTTGGCGATGAAGCGCGACGACGCGCTGCGTCCAAAACTACAAATTCGATAGCCAGACCTGGCATGAATTATGGATTAAGTGATTTATTATCGGTTAGCTACAAAGGCAGAACAGCAACAGTTCAACATAGTTATTGAAAACATTGACCGATAAGCGGCAGCATGCAATTAATGAACAACAGCATGATAAAACAAAGCGGCACATAGAAATAAGTTATAGAAAATGGATTGAGCGGAATAAGCTGGGGAAGGGAGCGGCAACGAGGAGGCAGTGGAACACTTGGTGGTGCAGAGCAGTGGCCCACCAACACTGCAAGTCGCGAGAGGAGAGAAGAGCGGCTCCGGATACCATCTTAGTAGGTCCGTCAACTCCACCAAGGTCCACTTAGCATCGTGCCGAACGTGGTGCGTGTGTGCGGGGGGGAGAAAAGCAGTGGTTTCATAACCGCGTGGGGGACCGGGACACGAATTAATAATGCACAGCACATATAAAAATACAACTCATTAGTAGGAGAGCCAGCTGACGACATATGCAAGCAACATAAGCAAGAAACCATCAGCAACTGAGTCATATGTAGTAGGAGTCAAACTGCTAACACATACACAAGCAACATAAGTAAGCAACAATCAGCAACTGAGTCATATGAAAGCAATTGATGACTGAAATCAGAGGGAATTAAAAGGAAGATGAAAGAAAGGTTTAGAGCTCAAGCACAGATGCTTACAACTCCTGGCAAATAAATAGCAAAAACATTCCTGCATCTGTCCTTGAGTTAAAATGCATCACTTTCGTAATGCCCTTCCCCCCTAGTACCAGCCCTGTGTTCTCAGGATCTTTTTGACCTTATTCTTAAAAGATCTCGATGACATTGAGCTAACTACA